AATATCCTAGATGGTGAAGCAGAAAACAAATATCTCGGATTTTATTTAGATGATTTGAAGCGTAATGCCAAAAGTGTCTCCAATTAAAGACCTTCCAATTTCTGCGGCCCCAGTTGAATGCCTATTTTTTATCATTAGCTCTTCCCTCCAATTAAATATTCCCTCTATTTAGGGACCAAAGACCATGGTTTTAGCGGGCCAACTGAACATTTTCCTTCCAATGAACGACCGCTATAAAATATATACTGTAGTGATGTTAATGCATAAATTGTGTTATATATCGAAGATACTCAATGAGCAGCGTTTCAGACATTAATCTGAAAAGAACAGATATTGTGACATGATCTTAGCCAAAAGGCAGAGAAGAGATATATGACTTGCACATAAATATTAGCCAATGCACTTTTTTGTGTATATTGAATAAGATAATGTAAGTAATATCTTATTGGAAAAACAAGTTGATATCTGGCTACAGTGAAATGTTTTATTAAAAATAAATAACAGCATGCAGTAACTGGATACATCCATTTTAAAACATTATTGTATTATTTTAATTTTCCTCTAAATAGAAAAATCTCGAGTCTCGGAATGGAGTCTCCTGGAAATCGTAGGAGGCACTGTCGCACTCCTGTGAGCAAGCAAGAATCTCCCGAATTAAACCACTTGCTGAAAATTCATGATGATACTTGCAGGCTTTTACCAGTTTTACTACTGTATTATCAATTTTCTCCCAGCAGTTGGTGCAAATCATTAATGGTTATCACCATGCACAAGTATATTTAGATCACTTAAGAAAACTCATTTATACAAATCTGCCGGAACTTGGGACTCGGACCCCTGTTCAGTGCCGATCTAATTATAGGGATTTTATTATACCATGGAGGAATTAGTTTAGACATTAAAGATGGCGTATCTAGAAGTCTTGAAATGGGGGTGCTGATGTGGGGAGGGGCGCGAAGGTGAAGTGGGGGCTCAATGATTAGTTGAGGGGCGCTAAGCAAATAAGGGGATTTTAGGTGATTTTTAACTACATGACCGTGATTTTTTTTGGGGAGGGACTGGTGGGGGGTGCGAGAGTAATTTTTTGGAGGGGCGTGCACCCCCTCCCCCTAAATACGCCACTGCATTAAAAAACATGATCTTGGCAAACCAAACTGAAAATGTTCTGCTGCTTTTAAAACATAGCTGTTTTAGTGCAGTGTTACCAGAGATCATGAATATACATCAAAAGCCAACGTTTTGTGTACTGTGCTCCATATTGAATACCAATAGCGTTAGTAGAACGTTGAATTGTGGCTACCGAGAAATGGTTAATAATTTTCATTAAAAAAAATGACAAATATATATTTATATTTTTTTCTTCGTGAATGTAAGGATGCATGTTAATACCGATAAGTAAATAGCATTGTGATGTAAAGATTGACGACGACTATGTTTTTTTAAAATTTATAATTAGAATAGTCGCACAGCAGACTCTAAATATATAATGCAGTCTTTCTTTTTTCGTTTTATTCTTTTGGGAGGGGAAATTTCCCCTCACAAGCACACATTCCCTTCGCCCAATTCGTGGGCGAAACTTATAAACAGGGGCCCCTGCTTCGCCGTTACACCACTGTTAGTAGAACGGTTTTATTAATAATATTGTAATGGTGATTCGAGTAGAACGAGCACAGAATTTGATGTGTGACTACCGGGAAATGGTATATTAAGAATCAATAACAGCATACAGTGATTGTACATGCATTTTAAAAATACTTTGAATAAATCAATGCTACATTTAATATATCATTTCTTTATTTACCTCTAAACAGAGATATTTAAAGACCACTTTTAGTACCGGTCTTTACTTAATGGGATTCTATTAGAGATCAAATGAGCTGAAGAACACTGAAAACCTGGTCGCGAAAGTATTTGCTTCTGGTTCAATCACTTTTGGCACCTTGCCATCCAGTTACTTCAAACATGCCGACGCATCGGCACCTTTCATGACATAGAATCCAAATGAGAGTGGAGGTATCAGAATATCTTGCTTTGGATCCAATTGTTTTGGCGGTAAGTCTGGCAATGTTCGTTCGTCCACCATCTCAAGCTTTACACCATTCAAATCAACAAATCTGAAAAAAAAAGACATCAACATATTCTTGAACGCCATTTATTTAGGCAAAGCTATACGAATACAAGAATAATACGAAAATCTCGTCTAAAAACCATCGTAAAGCTGTGCATTACAATGGTCTGTCGCTAAACCTGGATGGAGCAATGTGCCTGTTACGTCATCAAAAATCTAGTTAAGAGCGTCTCGTAACGAGCGCGCACGATATTTGTAATTTTAAAAAATGGGATATTATGTAACTGAGTATGCTAAATCAGTTCTCAAATTATATATAATTGGTAAACTTCTTCTCAAATTATATATAATTGGTAAACTTCTTCCTTTAAACGATTACAGGCTTTTAGCGGGAAACACAAACCACTTAAACTTAATAACCAGCTAGTCTATAAGTGGATTTGTTTGCGTTGTGATCTACACAAATAAACTTGAGCAAATAACATTGAATAATTTAACTGTTTACTTTGTATGTTTAAAGATGTATTGTCTGAAATGAGCTAATAGATATGAAAGACTGATACATGTGGGTCATAAAGTGATGACATCACAATGTTTGACCGACACTTAAATGCCATCTTTACTTACTTTGATCTCATGCCACTTTCACCATGTGACGTCAGCAAATACTGGTCGATTCCTTTAATTTTATGGTTAACTTCGGTTATCGATATACTCTTGCTGGAATACTTGTCCAGATTTAATATATAAACCGTGACGTCACCGGCTGCGTACTCACTAAAATTGTAATAATGAAACATTGTTTCATTAATTTGTCTTTATTCCGTTATTGTTCTAATGATATCAAATCCTTTATTTTGCACTCTTTGACAGTATATATTAGAGAACCTAAACTGAGCAATATTCTTACAAATTACAGTCCACCCTAACAATAATGAAAAGTAAACAAATGTGTAGGACAAAAAAAAAACAACAAAAAAACAAAAGGTGGTGCAAGAAAGATAGGGCATACCACATGCTGGTAAGGCAAGAAGAAAAGGGAAAAAATACTTGATACTGTGCAAGCAATACGTAAGGTCACAGCAAAAAGAAAAGGTCGCAGTGACACCCCAAACCACTTAAAACGACAATCACACCTGTCCACCTATAAACCCATCAAAAATTCAGTATAATTATGAATAACATTAGAGTTCAAAAGCAGAATATACAACTCAAAATCAAATCATGATGTATCCTCTGCCAAAAATAAAAATGGGGAAAACTCGAAAATCCAATTAAAATCATGGACAGCTCATTTAAACCTTGACTTTATACTTTACACTTTACCTGCTGGTCAATGAACAATGTGCATACGACCGTAGCAGCCTCAGATTTGAATCACCTCCACGAGCAGACGTTGTAACTTCCAAAACCCTCTGTCCAACAAGCCGCTTATAAAGCAACGACAACCACCAATCCTGAAAGAAAGCAAGATAAACACAGTATTATTTATGAGAGGGTTTTGGCAGTTGTAGTTCGGACACTCAACCACCTCGTTATGTATTGCTTTTGACAATAAACTCTACCTACGTAGAATGTTTTGGCATCATGATCGCCATCAGCATCATCATCATCATCATATTCGTCATCATTCTTTTTATTATTATTTTATAACAATTATAATAATAATAATAATAATTATTATTATTATTATCAAGCATATTATTATTTATATTATGTTATTTATTATTCTTCATTTTCAGTTAAAACACGTTCAGAATACCTACCGGCAGAGGTTCTAAATCCTCGTCCAGCAGTGCATAATTCCCCCCATAAAGTGTTTGTCGAATAACAACGTCAATGCCATAAAAAGCAGCTACGCCAAGTTTATCAAGCCACCTATATATAAACATTAGAATATTGTTAAATAAATATATAAAATTATAATACGAAGATATCATCGACATTATTCAACAGACTCGATTTGCGGGATAACGGTAGAAAATGAGATGGTTACTCCGCCGTATGCGCCACGGTTTCGACTTTGAAGTTTACATGTTTTGGATATTTTATGATAATGATACAATGAGAAATATTTAAACAATATATTAGGATATACAAAACAGTATAATAAAATATGTACATAGAATTAATTTGTTATAAATAAAACCAATCATAATATATCATTATATAATGATATTTATCCGAATCAGAAATATTTATTAGTGTCCGATCAATATTGCAACAAATATTTTTCCTAGTGAAAACATACATTTAAAAAAATTAATGTATATTATAAATGAAGGTAGTACAAAAATATAAATAGGCCTATAATTATCTAAATGTAAATATTAAACATCAGTTTAACAACCTAGCGTTTCTAACTCTTGAAGGACTTACATAAATCCCGAAACATAGGCATTAGAAAGTCCATCCGCACCGCTTCCGTACGCTGAACTAGTTTCACCAAGCCATATCTTACTACCAAGCTTGTATTTGTACACGATTCCTTTTATGCTCTGTATCTGCGTTATCAAGTCGTCCAAAAGATCGGGATCTAGGAAGTCATCTTCAGTAGCATTACGACTATCCATGTAATATTGGTGCCATGTTGACGCGTTTATTGCGTCACCTCCACCATTTTGATAAAAGCTGAAGGAGCACGATTACAAAATTTAGGTATTAAATGTAAATTCATCATTCGTAAATATAAAAAATGTTACGTTTGTATTATCGTCATCAATATATTTAAATATATATAGGCATATACATATATAGGCCTATATATATATATATATATAAATATATATATATAGGCCTATATGATTATTATTATTATTAACACACACACACACAGCATGAAAAACATTTACATAAAAAATTAAGAAAAGCTATGCCCATATTGGCCATCTTATTCTCTTTTCTCGAATTACCTTGGGATTTGACAAACTTTGTTTTCTGAATTTTACATGGGAAATAATTCTTACTCTGTCAAATATGTTAGTGATGGTTGCTTGTCTGAAGTCGAACTACCGCTTGGATTTGTGACCGATGGACCCATGATGAAATTGTGGCGGTAATAAACATAAGAATCCAGTAGCCTACGCAAGTGACAGTAGTCCAGAGCAAGTTGCCCGCCACTAATTGTGATGTTGGTTATGTTTTCCAATTGATTAGGCTCTGACGTAACAAAAAAAAGAAAGAATTTGCTGTTTACATAAATATCGAGCGTAGTAACTAAATGTGCGTACATGCGCGTACTGAAAGGCATTTCACAACCAATCACAGTTGAAAGCTCTGCGGACCTCAATTTCCATTTCCACTGTTTTCTTAAGCGCCCCGTTTGAATAAGCGCCCCTCAGAAAGTGCAAAAAAATATTTTAAGCGCCGGGGCGTTATACGCGCAAGTACGGTATATTATCTCTAGTAGTAATGTCCCAGCATACTGACGCCAAGATGCTTGCACCGTCCTGCCCTTCGCATCTGTTCTTCGGTTGTTTGAGAAGAAAGAGAATTTAAAAAAAGGAAAAAAGGAAAGAAGGGGAAAGAAAAAAAAATTACAGCATGACCATTGACCATTGTTTTCTTTTCTTTTTTTTGTCCTAATTTTATATTTTGTTTTGTTTTTGTTTTTGTTTTGTTTTGTTTTGTTCTTTTTAATAATATATTTATTTTATTATTTCCAGGACCGCAATGAAATGCATTTTCAGCAAATGATTGCAGGCGCGGATCCAGTAGTGGGGGGGGGGATGGGGTAGGGGCAGCACCCCGTTTTACCACTAAATTTTTAAAATTCCAATGCATACCAATGTTTATGTGCTACTTACTTACCTATTCTGGAACTGCTGTGCACCCACACACCCCCCACCCCACCCAATTCCCCAATTTAACAATTCTGGATCCGCCCCTGGATTGTGCCACCCTGGTTACAGATGTTAACAAAATAAATAAATAAATCTCTGTATCACTCCTATTTCTCTATCCCTGTTTTCTCATCGATAAAGTATGTACCCTTTAAACCGTAAACTAATCGTTAGCGCACTTTAAACACATAATACAGCCAAAGCCTACCTTTCATTGTGAAGTTTGTGGATGACTTTGTCTTCCCAACTTTATGATTTTCCAAAATCGTATCTTTATATATTAGAAAATCAGCACTTGTTCCACCTAGCCGTAGGTAAGCCGGGTGCAGGGACGCAGATAATGTCTGTAGTTGCGGTGAACTGTTGGAAATACAATTATACCATCGGTGAGCCACCAATGCACGTAATATACTGTAACTAAAAGTTATAATAGGCCTATACAGTCATGTAAAGTACGGTACTTAATAAAATGTAGGAATTAGTATTGATGTCTTTATATAATTGTTTAAAACAATTAAAAACGACATAAGGTCTACTTCCTACATATTTCATGCCATTATTTATCAAGTGAAATACAAACTGTGTTTTAGTTATGTGCACTTATGTCATTATATAAAAGAGTCGCAAGTCCTTCTGACGATAGTGTGGGTATCTTGCTTTTGTGACTACCGGGAAATGATGCCAAATAATTAAAAAATAAATAAATAAAATATAATAAATACCTAAGCTTACTGTTGAATAGTTTAAACATTCCTAGTTTACACAGAAAATAACTATCCATTTGGTAATTCTGTGATTTATTCGTTGTATTTTTAACAAACCTAAAAAAATGTTTTTTTTCATGTAATACCCTCCACAAAATATAATAATAATAATAATAATAATAATAGTAATAATAATAGTAGTAATAATGGCTCAAGAACCACTACCGGTACCTAAAATCATCACTGCATGCCAGTGCCACCTAAGTGGCACGCTTATTATAACTTTAAAAAAAAAAACCCGAAAAACATTACTTTTCACTCGGGTAAGTTGCTAGTAGGCGTACACCCCCACCCACCAACAACACTTGCTCGTACACACACACACACACCCACACACACACCCACTCAGATATGCATATGTATATGACTTGGGTGTATAGTATAATCGATACGTCCTACCCAACCTGTCGCCTCTATATCCCATCTTGTTTAGGCCCTATGCCTAATTTTCTGGTCCTATACGACAGACCTACCTGAAATTAAGTTTTCCATAATTCCAGTGTTTCCTGATTTCGCTGGAGTCGATGGCAACTGATACAAATCGATCATTGACTACGTTGATAACCTTGTCGGTACTCACATACAGTTTAATATAATCAATGCTGTTGCCGGGTGGAATTCTGTTCACCAAGCAAGCACAACACGAACTGCACAAGAAATGCACCAGTGGAAATAAAATACCTGTATTGGAAATGCTGTGTAGCAGCTGTTGTAACATTGTTTTTGTTTGTAATTTCTTCTTACTCACCCTCTCACTCACTCTCGTCTGTAACTATTAATCGTTGTCTCGGAATGACGGAAGGAAGCTGATCCTCATTGAGTGTTCAATTGTGTTTAGTTTGTTTTCATTATTCTAACACGTGTAGTGCATAGTATTGAGAGAATATACCGGTACAGTATTACAATAGGGTGTACATGGTCGCACGAGCCTATATATACATATATACCTATATTTTGCACATGATATATATATTCATAGTCCCTATATAATAGTCATAGATAGGCCTATAGTGATTTAAATGTGTGGGAACGAACACAGAAACATAAAGAGGAATAATGCAATGAATAATATAAATTGAAACGTAACAGAAGAAAGGGGAACCTGAACAAAATCTCAGCCTCCACCGGGACTCGAACCCGGGACTTTTCGCAAACATGTCGAACGTCATAACCACTTGACCACGAAGGCACTGAGGTAATTCAAGCCTTCGGTAGAACCTCAGTTCCAAAATTGGGACCCCTGTGTGTATACGAATATACAGAGATATAGGCCTAATGATACAATATTTGTATAGAGATATAGGCCTAATACACATACTGTGGATCTCGAGGTAGGCCTAGATGCACGAGGCATATGCTGCATTAAATAAACATAATAGTCTTGTAAAATTACGATGGTACTATTTTTGGAAAGTTAGGTGATACAGGCAAACTATATTGTATTATAAATCAATCAGTATAATGCACAAAAACATTCGTTATACTTGAGATGGCACTGCAATAAAACAATTTTCCTTTTCATAACCGATATGAGCCGCAATGATTTGACACATGGTAAACCAATAAACCCAAAGTCCATGCCCATACATTACAATTAGATGGCGCCAAATGCTCATCTGATTGTATACAAACGCATTTCGCGCTACCATCAACAATTTTAACGACTTCTAATTATGTACAAGTTAAATGGACCTAAAAGTACCATCGTTAATAATTTACGTTCATGGATAATATTATATCTGAGTAAGTTCTACAGACTATTAACAAACCTCTTATGGAGCAAACGACAGGTAAGTATGTTTTTTTTTTATCTGGCACAGAAAAACAAGTTGATTATAATGTCACAAACGTATCTAATAAATACAATTTTACCTCATCATAGATACAATTTCAGTTGCCGAATAATGCAATAGCGCTGAAATGATCCCTATGACTCTTGGAGATTCTCAAGTGGTTCGGCCATTATGAATTTGTAAAAGAAAGGGCGTTTTGTGGTTAAAATCTATAGAAAACCCCAAAACAATTAATTGCTCAAATAAGTTATAGACTCTTTCAATGTTATCCCCAAAACAATTCAGCGTTTTATGAATACAAAAATCTTTAAAATAGTCTTTATTTGCTTTAATAATTTACGTGGATATTATATCAGAGTTCCAGTAAGTTCTGCATGGATTATGGAGCAAACCACGGTTAAATTGTTTTTTTTATCTGGAACAGAAAAACAAGTTGATTATAATGTCACAAACGTATCTAATAAATACAATTTTAACTCATCAGACCCAGTTTCGGTTGCCGAATGTAGCAGCGCTGAAAAGATTATATGGCTCTTTTCAAATGGTCCGGCCATTTTGAATTTGTAAAAAAAGGGCGTTTTGTGGTTAAAATCTATAGAAAAACCTGAAACAATGAATTTTTCAATTGCTCAAATAAGTTATAAACTCTTCCAATGTGACCCTCAAAACAATTCAGCGTTTCATGACTATACGAAATTCTTTGTCTTTATTTGCTTTAATAATTTACGTGGATAATCAGAGTTAAAGCTCTACAGAGTACCGTACTATTAACAAAATTATCATGAAGCAAACGACAGTTAAATCTGGAACAGAAAAATAAGTTGATTATAATGTCACAAACGTATCTAATAAATAACATTTTACCTCATCATATAGACGCAGTTTCGGTTGCCGAATGCAATAGCGCTGAAATGATTATGTGACTATTGGGGATTCTCAAATAGTCCCGCCATTATGAATTTGTAAAATGGCGTTTTGTGGTTAAAGTCTATAGAAAAACCAATTGAACAATGAATTGTTCAATTGCTCAAATAAGTTATCAACTCTTCCAATGTGACACCCAAAACAATTCAGCGTTTCATGACTAGGAAAATCTTTCAAATAGTCTTTATTTGCTTATTCTGTATAACTTTGGTTATTAAGATTATTATCTGTAAATTTAATATACAATTAGAACGCCAATTAATAGGGTAAATAATACTATTTCTACATCTTTAGCAAGACGCTCAACCTTAGATAAAGTCTCACTTAGAAGATGGTGAAATCTCTGATGTCGGTGTGATGGATAGGGAGGTTGAAGAATCGCCATGAACAAATACTGAATGTTTTTAAAATGTGGCTTTCGAGACATTAGCTCATGATCATCATTAGACCTAGATGGACAGAGCGGAAAACGAATGAATTAATGGGGAACCAAGATAAATGTTCCGGACCAGTGACAATGACGAAGGGGATTATACGAAGGGCAAGGGCGTCCAACACGTCACCGCACGTCGTCGACCATTGACACCCGAAGGAGTTTACCATTTTACCAGAAGCTCAAGAGAACGCGTGGACAGGAGGGCGACGTGCGAATGCCACAAATCTACGGCATTAACGTACACACGTATTTGCGGGATATGCGCGTATTCTTGGTGCTTTTCTGATTGGTCGTTTCAGTATTCAGTTTCATTGCAATTCCGAGCTTCATTCAATGTTTCGTGGAGGTTTTTCAAGATTTTAACACATCCGCCACAATTATATTTTTTCGATTTGTTACTTTACAACTCAATAAATGTAAGGTTGTCCAAACAAATAAAAAAATGTTTAAAATATTCTTTTTAAAAAATCTATGCTCTAGTGCTGTTCTGGCTACAGACAGTATTAGGCCTAGGCCTATTGTCAACATTTTGTCTACCGCACATAGCGTACCAGAACTTCTTAAATTTTCGTTTGTAATTTTCATTCAGAATTCCGTACAATATCGGATTCACAGCGCAGTTGATGGCTGTCATTGACCACATGACGAGAAAAAAGTGAGATGGCACCTCATTACGGTGATGTTCAGAAGTTGCGATGTAAAGAATCATCAGAAGCACCGGTATCCACATGATCGCAAACATCCAGACGAGAAGTACCAACATTCTCAGGACGGGCGATTCCTTAGCAATGTTCTGTGGTTGCGAAGAGCCTACGTGGGAGCTGCTCATTGACGCAACGCGTTGACTGTTTTCCGAAATAGTTGTTCGTATTTTTCTGTGAGTATACGCGATGATGATCAAAGGTACGACAACACCAAGAGATGTTACTGTAACACAATATATTATTTCTATTACTCCTGCCGACGACCATTCTGGTTTGAGAGAACAGATTGTCACGTCATCAATTTGTATTACGTCAAAGTTGAAAAACATTGGTAATGCACCAACGAGGGCCACAACCAAAAGTATCATCATCATCTTAATAACAAAGTGAACTGTGAATCGTTTTTTGTTTCTTTGAACTATCAGACGAAATCGGTCAAAGCTGATTATTACCATGGTCCAAATGCTACAGAACCCGCTCACAAATTCGATATAGAATAACGACTTACAGGCGAACAGACCAACCTCCCACGATTGCGTTATTCTTGTAGCTATGACAAACGGGACTGATAACAAAAATACTATATCAGCGAGCGCTAGGTTGCTTACAAGGTAGTTAGTGACCGTCCTCATACTCGCATCAATGACAACCACCATTAGTACGAGAACATTTCCAATTATGGCCACGTTGAATATACTTGTGAGTACTGTTGTTTCTAAGATGTAAGCACCACTCCAAGAGCGATTAAACTCAGAGAAAAATGTGAAGTATGTATGGTTAGCCACCGTAAGATGCGAAACACTCATTTTTTAATCCTAAGTAAGTAAAGAGAGAAAATTCATTTAATGAACAGACAGCAATGTCCTATTCTATTTATTTTTATTTAACTAGGCCTATTTGACTAAACATAGCCATCAAGGCTGTTATATTTATAAAAAGCACAAACAATATCAGACCTACTTATATTTTTACAATAAAATACATTAAAAGTCGCTTTATCGACGAAGACACTAAAACTCCAAGCAAAAATGTGTATATCAGCTGGAATTTGCATCCACAAAAGTAATGGAACCAGTAAATAATATGATCAGTGCTATAGGAACATAAGCTTCGTTCACCACATATATTATTCTAACATCTTAGTTTACCCACATGATGTGTAATGGTTGGTTCACACGAGAGTAATTTAGACAATTTGACGGAGGAGTAGCGTTGCTTGCGATTGTGGTGTCAACGCGTCTAAATTGCCTTAAGCCCTGTCCAGACTATATAAAATTTTGTTTGACAAAACATGTGACAAGCCTTGATATGGTCATGACATCATATCATGAACATATAGAAACGTCATGACTATTATATATGGGCATTCTTCACTCTAGTGTGAACCAACACTTAGACATCATTGGTGCGTATGGTAAACTAAGTAGATATGCAAGAATTATATCACTATCCTTTCTTTAACAATAATCCAGTCATGATAATATATTTGACGATATTTAGGCTAATATGCTCCAATAAGTCTTTTATGACATTCGTTACTATCGTATTCTTTTGTTGAATATTAAACCGAAGCCTACGAAGGGTAACGAATATATCATTATTATTTCACAGCAGACCATGATATCTGGTTGGCCAGAGGGTCGAAACAAGAGCCTGGCCTACTTCAAATTTTGCCGGTCCGATTTCCGCGCAGCAGCCTATTTTACTTGCTTATCTAGTTAGCAATTGATTAACTCAATATAATTAAATCAACCTTAGCCTCACAATTTTCTTGCAATGTACTTACGTAATTATTGTTGACTTCGATAGCAGAATGTCTATCTATGATGAAAAGACCCAGGTTTACAGTACATTCACAGACAACTGTGGTTTTGCGTTCCTGTCTGTCGAAGAAAATGCTCGTAAACTTTGACGCGAATTTCAACATTTCTAAGATGTTTACACTACAAAACGATGAAACCAAATTACCGCAAAAGCAACCAACCAAGATGTTCCTGGAATATGACGTCACATATTAGTACACTTTTGGAGTGACAGGTGTTCAATTAGAATCCATTTTCCCAGGATTGTTTTACGTAGTTAATTTTCCACTTGTAATCTTAAATTGAATATTAGGCCTAACCAGGGAACTATTATTATTATTATGATTATATTATTTACCAAAGGGCAATCTAGACCAAAACGATTGCCTTTAATGTAAATGGCAATTCTGGCGGTCTCTTATAAGTTAAGGCCGAGATGTTCGAGTACTAATTTTTGGACATAAAGCATCTCTGAGCATCTGATGGTAGTTTTGGTGAAGTCAGCGTATGGGAGGAGATAGTGGACTTTATTCGGGCAGACCAATTCTTATCAGCCGCGAATCGTGGTTCCCATATAAATTATGGATTAAACGTTAGGCCTAAGGGCTTAAGGTAATTAAAAAGCACATTGTGTAGATCGGTCTTTAAAGCGACAATCAAAGGAGAGACTTTGATTATTAACTTCCAACCAGAAACAGATTGAAAAAAAAAAAAAAATTACAGACATATTTACTAAAAATCCCTACAATTATTACTAGGCCTACCAGCCACAAAAGAATAGACAGGGGCGCACCATCGCCGCGTCTAATTTTCGGTTCGAATTGTTAAATAATCTAATTGTAGGCTATTTGTTGTCAAAAGATCAGTATTAGGCCTACAAACTTTTAGGTCGTTTACGAGAGGTAAACCATAAGAAAAATCCAAAAGTCAAAAGGTGGTCGCGGTTGTTTACGGGAGGTATAGTGGCTTACGAGAGGTATCAAAAAATGCACTCATTAGGTAGGGAGAACAAACGGGACCATGGGTAGTGGTCGTACAGGGAGGTTGAAATATACCAGGGAATAGTTAATTTTCACTTTGGCCTGATTATACCAGATAAGACCGTAATAACAAATTACATTACATTGTTTTCATTTGCTACCTTGATTCGAGTTACATGAGAGGGCACGGCGTGCGTGCCGGGTTCTGGCAAGGGTCACTCAGTTACTCTCATAGCCTAATAAAAGGAGGGACATAGGCCTACATTTCAAATAATATTATATTTTTTTCATATTACCGATCATTTACTACTACAGTATAATCGGGATATATTTTTTAAAAATTTGGATTTAGTTGAGGGGGTGGGGTCGAGACTCCTTGATCCCCTCCCTCCACCTGCACCCATGACAGACTAGAACAAGTATTGTAACTGTCCGTTACTCTAATTGATGGAGATTTTTTTTTCTCTGTCAATTATTTTTGATTCAAAGTTAATAACTCACACCTTCTTCTCAAGCATTGTATAGCCATTGAACAAAAATTCTTTATCAGTTGTCTTGGGGGAAAATGATGACCTCCTTTTTACAATATTTTGGATTCGGGAAATTTGTGACGCCTGGCAAGGGTCACTCAGTTACTCTCATAGCCTAATAAAAGGAGGGACATAGGCCTATATTTCAAATAATATTATATTTTTTTCATATTACCGATCATTTACTACTACAGTATAATCGGGATATATTTTTTTTTATTTGGATTTAGTTGAGGGGGGGGGTCGGGACTCCTTGAACCCCCCCCCCCCCCCTTTTTTTGCAAAAAATGATGTCTGGAGATTTTTGTGTGACCGGAAAAAAATTC